GTTTTGCAGTATCACCGACGATATGTGTTATACAGCGGCTGTCATATAAGGGAGACGCTGAAATTTTGGGTAGGAAAGGACATCAATAGATTGGATATATCCCTACACCCTTATGGTTGCTTGCGTCCTATCCAAAAAAAAAAAAAAAAAAGCAAACATCAAAGAACAACAAAAATTGTACAGAAGCAATATTCAAATCAAGACATACTTACATACAAACATAAAACCATAGTAAACACTCAACCAAGCAAACATACGTATACCAAACAGATTTTTTGCATTAATTAAATACTATATATAAACGTAGTATATAATAAATATTTATGTACTAAGTATATGTGAGTATGAAGAACAAAAAAAGAGTTAATAAATAGTAGGAAAAAAATTCAAAATATTAACTGTATGTAAGTGATTAGCTACGTAGTCAAAAGAAGAAGATATGTATCTGCATTTTCCTGGGTTTACATATGTATGTATTTTGACTGCCAGCCTATGGCTATTATTTCTATTGTTATTATCAATATTATTGTTATTAAGTATTTGCTATTATTATTATGCATTATATTTTGTTATCTTCTTGCCAAAAATGTTTACTCTTAAAGGATGAGTGGCGTTTTTGGGATCTGCCATTTTGAATTTTAAAAATTCATGGTTATAGGGACCCCAAAAACCCCAGAGTAATAAGTTTCGAGCACATTCTATGAATTTTTAAAAATTTATTCGCCATTTTGGATATTAAAAAACGTCATTCATCATTTAAAAGTAAAATTTTGCACCGAATTTACAAGTATATAACCGATTTTTTTTTTTACCTGTACCAATTTCGGAGAGTGGGGGCTTCAACTGACGAAAAATGCCTCATATGTACATACATACATATATGTACATACTATTTATTCTATAAAAACCAATGTACATAATTATATGGCTATGTATTTTTAATATTAATCTCGCACTCAACGACACTTTTTATTAAGTCACAGCTACTTCGCAACATATTTAGGGTATTCACAAGCTACAATAACAGTCCATATTGTCATAAATTTGAAAACGGTTATATTTGTTTTGTAATTGTTGTTAATTGTTTAAAAATATTTTTAGTCGCTAAGAAAATTGTGGCATTATTATCATGCGACTCGTCATAACACCTTGTGAATAACCTAATTTCATGTTTTTCTTTTTATGTACCAAATATCTCAAATAAAAATTCTTAATTAGGCAAAGTAATAAAGGACATTCGCTTAAATTGAAAAAAAAAACTCCAAAATCTGACTAAACTGGCAAAATTGGATATGAAGAATACTGTCTAGTTTCAAATTCTATATATGTAAGTGTCGAAATCTGTAAAAAAAAAACGTTTTAGGATATTCATTGTAGGGCCTCTGCCAAACTACACAGAAAAAATATGATCTATAGAAACCAGAAGATTGTCTCTAGGAAAAGTTTCTAGGCTAAGGGGTTAAATATTGAATTGTTATTAACTTTATTTACATATAAAAGCATCTTTAAAAAATCATAGAGAAAATTTGCTTGATTGCATCCTTAAAAAAAAAAATACTTCCTAATGCAGCCAAAATTACTTAATTTAAAACACTCAGTCAGCAAGTACATTTCATTAACAGTTTTTAGTGTTGTGGCAGCTTAAGGGGCAGGTATGGTAAACTTCTCCATTTGACAGAAACAGCCCTACACTAAATTGTTAATAGAACGCCATTTTCTCCCCTGTTAAAATTTTGACTAATGGACTTGGCGCTTTTTCATCTATATATGTAAATTGGTCGGTCGGCATACTAACACAAAACGAGTCAATAGATGAGACTGTGATGCTCTTTCAGAGAGCGATCAAGTAAGCTCTCACTAATCTAAATCATAGCCAAATGCTGTATTCTTAAAAAATTGGGAAACTACATAGAATATTCGAAACTGAAGTAGTTCAGTCAAAGTTTCGTAACTCTTTTAAGAATTAAGAGTATTTTAAGTGGTCAGTGTTATCTTAAGTTGTTTATAAGGACACTTATCTAGTATTTATGTAAGCACAAATGCATATTATTTGAGAATTTAGACTGTACATATTTCTTTGTATAATATGTTATGGCTTTTCGCAAACAATAACTTTCAAAGAACAAAAAAAAAAAATAAAAAATTAAAAAATAAATAAACTAAAACCATAAAATATATTCGAAAAAAAGTTAAACATTTTACAAACGAATGATCAACTCCAGTATATTTGTACAAATATTGATTTTTATATACTTTGCTGTTGTTTTTATATGAATTTGGGCAAGTTTTAAAAAAGTAATAAATGTAAAATTTAAATTAATTATAAAAATTTTAAAATAAGATTAATTTATAGTAGAATGAAATACAACTGAGTACCTTGAAATCTATATAAAGCTATCTCTGTACAAAATGTTATCGATAAATTAATTGTATGTACAAGTAAGTACGAGTGTATGTATATATGTATACTAAGTATAAAGTCATGATAAAGAATTGTGTAAAAAGAAATAAATTCAATAAAAAATATAACATAATCATAAATGATTTAATAAATTACAATACATAACCATAAAAAGAAATGCATATCATCACGATTAACGCAAGAGGCCCTAGTTGACGCTTTTTTGATCTCAGATGCATCTCCTTAAAAATGCATAGTCAAATCTTTCAAAAAAATACGAGATTTATTGTGAACTTTATTCCCATGTAAATTTCTTCTCGTATAAAATTTAAAAGTTTGTCTGGCAGGGCCGGAACTTTTGCAATCATGGTGACGATATGTAAATATCTATTTGCAAAAATATATACACATACACATATGTTGTATATTTCTAAGTAAATGCTGTCTTATTATAACAGTATTTTTGCCTTCTTAAACGCATTAATGCAAATCATCTGTCTGTTTCTTCCCTAAACCTAAAGTATCCAATTTGAGCAGAATTAGCAATTTTTCGTAGTTGCGCTTATTGGAATTAACTATATGTCATGATTAAGAAATAAAAGAGACTGATTATTTGCGTTGATGCGTTTAAGAAGACAACCTATTACATTCAGACGACCATTTGCACAAACACTATAACAAATATTACGAATCAGCAAGTAAAAAAGAAACGCCGAATTTCGTTTGTCATTTGTTTCTATAAATCTTCTTTGCAACCATTTTTTTTTTTGTTTGCAACCATTTCTTTGTTGTTTTTTTTATAAAATACTGGGCGACTAAATTATTGTTTTTTATAGTTCTCAGTTTGGTTGCTGATGCTTCCGACAGGGTATCATGGCGCAATAAACAGGTGAAGTAAGCTTGGTCAACATTGTGGTCCTAAATCAAATAAAATTTCAAACGAAGAAAAGTTGTGTGAAATTTTAAATATCATGATTCATGAAACTTTTAAAATTTATACAGTGTTAACATGAGGCGATTTTACAGGCCTTTCAACTAATCGCTCCCAATGACGTTGGGGGTAGCCAACTTTCCATTCACCCCTATTCCTCTAAAATTGTCTGTAAAATCGCCTCAGGTTTCAATTCTATAAAAATTACCGTTGATTTTTGATAATTCTTTTTTTTTGTCAAGGGTGTTGCGCATTTTCCTCCATATAAAAATAGATTTTATTCATGCGTTATATGGAAGAAAATGCGAAACACCCTTTAGAAAAAATTCTCAAAAATCCACGGTAATTTTTAGAGACTTGAAACTTGCATCTTATTTAATGGGCAACAAAACAGCATACTCAAAATTTTACGAATTGAAAAGTTTCAAATTTTGATGAAAATTTTTTGACATTTCCTGAATTTTCCCCCCGAGTTCTATATGAAATTGAAAAAATTGATTCTGCTGTAGAATGAATTACATTTTTATAAAAAATTTAAAAAAAAATGGTATGAAAAATATAAATAAAGAAAATCGTCAAAACGTTATACTTTTGACGCTGACTGTATATGACAGAACACAACCACACTCTGCAAATATGTAGTCAGTAGATGAAAACCAAACTATAAAATTTTGATAAAGTATGTATTGCAAAACAAAAATTAACTTAAATTGTTCTTTTAAAACTTTTCTATTTCTTTCTAAACTTGTCCTTTTGAAACGCTGCAATAGAAAATTTTCCACAACCATATTACCAGATGTCTGTCTACCTTTGATTTTATTTGAAACTTTCAGCCAAAAGAACTACCAAGTAAAATTGTGTGGAAAAATTAATTACTGTTGTAGAGACTTCGAATTTATGAATGAAAACTTTCTAGATTGCACTAGTCTGTACAAACGAGTTCTCCTTGTTGTTAACGGTTAAATTCGATGTAAAAGAAACCCGAAAATTAATTTTTACAGCTGAAAATAATATTATTTGCAACTTATGTTTATTTTTTTAGACTTAATAATAATCATTTAAAATATAGTTTGATCCATAACAGAAACAACATAAATAGAGTTTTCAAAGATTTCACAAAGTCCACAAAAATTAATGAAGGTTTAAAATTTGTTATCAAAATTTCAAATTTTTATTCAGAATTTTTACAAAATTTTCGAGTACGCAATTTTGTAGCCCATTTAATTTTAGTGTTTCATGTCGCTAAATATTCACGTTAATTTTTTTGGTTTTTTTTTGTCAAGGCGTTGAGTATATTTTTCCATATTTTATTCTGAACAAAAATTTTTAAATTTTGATAACAATTTTTGGAAATTTTGATATATTTTTTTTTGTTAATTTGATTAATTTTTGGCAACTTTGCGAAAACTTTTGAACTTTTGTTTATGTGGTTACTGCTATAGATGGAATTATATTTTATATGGAATAAATAAACATAATGCCGGATTTCCACAAGGCATTAAATTACATACATAAATATGTATAACAAAACGGGTCGTTAAAAAATACTTTTGCCATTGCATTAAGAAAAATGTTCATTAAGTTTGTTTCCACATTGCATTTTTTAAATTACACATATTTTACGTAATTTCAATGACAAAAATTTTAATGACAATGTTGGGCATTACGTTCATAAAAAATCCAATAAGTTTGTTTCCACATGGTATTCTCAAATGACATGCATTTTTTGTCATTTCAATGCCTAGTGGAAATTTGGCATAAGTCGCAAATAATGTCATTTTTACACCTATTCTCTTGTCCATGAGTGTATTTATATATTAATAGATTATACCAAACGCCAAATTCATCGCATGTTGTGTTCGAACAAAGCCCACCATTTAAAAAGCGACCACCTAGAAATATGATTTCAACTATATATATTCACACACAGAGAGACAGGCATACATACATACATACATATATACTCCATATGTTTTTAAAAATGTAATATAAATCTAGTAATCATGCGCAATATATGCATATATGTATGTTTAAAACAGCTCTCTTAGATAAGCAAATCAGTAGAAAATTTAGTCTAAGATTTAGCTCTGCAGAATCATTAAAGAATTAAGAATCAGAGAATTTTTGAATTGAAAAGTTTTAAGAATCTAACTAAAAACCATGCTACTAATTTTTTGCTTCAAATGCATAACTTAAAAAAATATTTATAATAAAAAGAAGCAGCCAGGCCTATAATTGTTATTGTAAAGAAACAAAATCTCCTCTACTAGCAATAAAAACTGCTTTCTGAAATAGCTATCGATGGTCTCAACGAATTTTAAAATCGCAATTTCAAGCTTAAATGTCAACTAGGATGTACGTACATATATACCTATGCATATATGAATTAGAAATAAAACAGTAAGCTAGAAGTTAATTTAAAAAAACCAAATTTCTCTTAAAATTATTAACGCAAGCTTGTACTCGTCCTTAAAAAAAGTTTTTCTTGTTTGATTTTTGTATATTTCTTTACCAAAGAAAGGATTTCAAAATAATGTTTTTTTTATCCACTACTTACATGTGTGCATTAGACTGTACCAGATTCCAAATAAACACAAACAAGTTTGCCGTACACTCCTGCGTTTAAAGTATTTTTGCAAAGCAATTTTGAAAGACCAGTTTTGGTATTGGCCAAATCTAGGGATATCCTTTTTAATTATTTCGGTGACATTTACTGGAATATTCGAAATACTTCATTACAAAAAGTCTAATAAGTTTTGGTGAGGTTTATTTCACCGTTATTAGGGTGGTACGTAGGGTGATAAGAACTAGGTATGTAGTACTAGAATGGGTTACTTGAGGTCAATGAACTTAAGAACAGAAAAAATTTCGCCTGGAGAAAAAACATGGATTTGTCATATTTTAAGATCCGACTGTAAGTGCCGACCGAAGGAATGTATGACGAAAAATGTTCAGCAAAAAAAAAGAAAAATGTTTTCCGAAAGCGCAAAAAATACTTCAGATTCGAAGGTGTACGGCGACCTCTTATTCTGGTACGCCCTAATGTACATACATATGTAAATATTTAGTTCCCATCTATATTTCTCTTGCATAAAATGAAAACCAAACATATATTTAGTAGCATGACAATCAACAAGGTGGACGCGCACACATACATATGTATGTACAAACGAAGTCTGTACATGGATATATGGAATTATAATTATTTGCAAAAACTAAGGATATGTGTGTATTTACGAAGCTTGGCAGTGTAGCAGTGAAAACAATGTAGAAAAGAAAAATCCAATTTTTGTTGCTTAAGTTAACTGACTGTAATATCGGCGTTCCTTAAGTTCGGAGTAGCGTTTTTTGTAGTTTTGTAGCACAAACAATATAATAATTTAATAAGTTGAAGTTTATTATAAGAAATAAAAGCTCGATGAAGGTGATACTCCAAAATTTCTGTACCGCGGTGAGAATATTTTGCCTTCTCAAGTAACCTTTTTTTTGAAAAATATCTACAACAAAACTTACATATATATTGAGATATATTACATCTTAATTTGCAATTTAATAGTTTTAACTTAGATTTTATATTAATTTAATAAAAATCATAAGCTATTGTATATATTATAAAAAATATTATTGAGATATTTTTCTATAGTCGATTTAATTTAATGTAGGAATCATCTGTTATACATACGGCATAATATTTAGCATAGATTAGTAAAGCAACCTTTTCTTTGAGAAAAAAAAGATGTTGCAAATAAAATTTAGTCTCAAAAACAAAGTTGTTTTATTTATGGAATTGTTACCAAAACAACACGTTGTTATAGTAATAAAAATTATACTGCGGCTTTTACATGTAACGCCATAAAAAGCCTTTGGTATACATATATCGCAATGACTTCTAGAGAATACACCAACAACTTTTATAGAACAATTTACGACAACCTGTTTGATAATAAACTTTAATCATGAAATTTCATATTCGCAAAACTCTTTTTGAAAAACCAAATGAAACTACTAAAAAATAAAAAGCTCCATACCTGCACTTATCTTAAATTATTCTTGTGTTAGCAGCTATTATTATCTTGAACTATAATTACAGCATCTAATTATGCATCGTTGTCCAGCTCAAGCGCTACTAGGTAGCTGAGTATATCAATTTTGGCTTTTGCTTTCTTCTTCTCATTCAAACGTTGAAAATAATATACCAGTGATAGCGCAAAATGTTTGTCAGATTCATATGATTTATCAGAAGTTCCTGGCTCGTTATTAACTTCATGATCATTGTTCATTACTAGCGAAGTTGTAACTGCAGCATCATATTCAATTCCGGTTGTAGCTTCATTAATGATATCGCTAGTAGTGGAGGAAGCTGTCGAAGTAATGATAGCTGATGACGTTTCAGCAGGAGTGGTGTCAAGGTAGTCAACATCAATAGAAATAGTAGGTCCCGTATCAATCACAGCTATTTCTTCATTCGCATCTGAGTTTGTCGTTGTTGCCAAATTGTCCTTGCTCTCTTGGAAAGCCGGTATTCTGTAGTCTTCCGTAATAATACTTGCTATCATACATTGCTCATCAGTTTCTTCGTCCAGTAAAGCAACATCGGTTGACGAAATATCCAGGCTCTCTACAAGATCATCCTCGTATTCTACATCACTAAGCAATATATAACAGAGTTAATGGCCAACCCAGTACTAAATTTTATAATGAAAAGTATACCTTATTTCATTTACTTGATTGCAGTCAGAAATGTATGCTTCCTCAGTCACGTTAACATCCTCTTCTAGTTCGTTCAAGTCTTTAAAATCTGTGCCGTCTGCTGTGCTTGAGGTAGTCGTACGGACATTGTCACTCTTATATGGCACTGGCACTGCATATTTATACAATAGTTTCCGATAAAAATGTGGTTTTATGTCGTTTTTATTAAAGTGGTATTCGCAAAAGTAGCGCTGCTGATTGGCCTTGAGATTCTGAAGCTGTTTATTTCCACTATTTAGGATCCATTGAGTACGACGTGGCTCGTCATTTGGCAATTGGAAGAATGTGAGCGAACTGCAAGGGAAACGCAGTGTGTAGCAGCCCTGATAACTGCATACCTGTGAAGTCATCTTCCAGCACAGAAGGTAGCTTTCTTTGATGATAACCACAGACGGCAACAAATATTTGTGAGTCCAAAATCAAGGACAAAAATAAAAAATAAATAAATTTTTTTGTTTGCTAAACAGAGTTACCAGATTAACGTAGCCTGAAGTCACAGCGAAACAGCTGTTTTCACCATAGCGCTATCCATGAACGACAGACACAAGATCCCGCGGGAAGGAAAAAAAGAAAAAAGTTATTTTCTAGCTGCCGAAATCTCGACGCCATCTTTGTTGTAAGAAGTAAACAACGAAGAGAACGGAGAAAACCGCGAAATTGTTGAACGCATGAATAATCATTTTTATTATGCAAATTCTTCAATAAATCATGCCATTGTGTTAAATTATTCTTTATCTTATGTGTACACACATTGTCACAGGCGTAAATGAAGAAAATTGTTGTAAAAAACCACCACCAAATTATAAACAACGAAGAAATTTAAACAAACGGCTAATGTCAAAATCGTTAAAATTTTTTCCTAAATGCGATTCTAACGGGCTACTCTCCTGCCCGCGTGATCTTGTATTTTTGGTTCATGAGTGCTATCCAAAGCCAATTCATAAAGGTGGTTTTAAAGAAGCAGCTGGCTTCAAGGCGAATTGTTCTGATTGTTAAAATGATGGGTGCGTTTCTTTATACATTCCGGATAATCCCATTTCACAGCCGGAATAAACAGAATGCGTTTGAAATAGACGTTAACATATCATCAGGAACTAGGGCTGTGCGATTATTTGATTACTCGAGCAAGTTGATTAATCAATTATTCGGTTAATCAATTACTCGAGTAAACAAGATTTTGATTACTCGAAACGATGATTAATCGAGTAACTTGAAATTACTCACAAAAGATAATTTTGCTCGTTAAAAGAGTTTGCTTTGGAAAATGCTTATTTTCTTTTTTACATTCTGTATATGAAAAAAATGTTGCGTTTTAATTTTTGAAAACAGAAACGTTGTTTTCAAAGTATCAAGGAACTTTAACTACTTTATACATATGTAAAGAGTTGAAATGTTGATTACTCATTTTACTCGAAATGTTGATTAATCATAAAGCAACTTACTCAAATTTTTTTTTTTTTTTGTTAATCAAAAATCTTGCTTACTCGAGTAACTGAACTTTTGAGTAATCATAATTTCCAATTAATCGAATAATTGAGTGATTATGATTAATTAAAATTTTGAGTAATCAATTAATCGCACAGTCCTATCAGGAACGTTCTAAAGAATAAGTAAACAAAAAATTTTATTCCAAACGTTCAGAATGAATAAAGAATTACAGCCAAAATGTATTCAACAAAGTGTGATTGATTTTGACATTGCTCTCATAAGAAACAGGCTATAATGTCAAATTGAAATGAATTGTTAACCCATTTGAAAATATTTTTTTTCAAATTTGAATTTGTTTAAAAAAAATTTACACAAATATTTTTCAAGCAACAAATTTTCTTAATAAACGTGAAATTGTTAAGAGATAAACCGCCGAGGAGAGCAAGTAAGCATATTTAAAGTTTGGTAATAAGTAAATATGTACGTTAGACTTTTCTTAAATATTTAATGTAAGGAAACCTAGATGAAACGGAGCAAAGCTTTTGAACGGTGCGCTGTATGCAATAGAAGTCAGGACACGAAAATAGAGCGATGTTTTAAACCACCTAGCTGCGAGTTGAGTCGGCAGCGATGTAGTGTTGTACTACGTGATTCATCTCGCGTTTATGAAAACCACTTCAAGGAAAGTGATTTCATTTGTTGTCCGTCCGAGTCAAGCACTTTCAAACGAGCGCGTTTATACCCAAACTATTTCGCATACAAAAATTTAATTTCAAAATTGTTAGAGTTAAGCTCTCATATAAAATTGGAAACAAATGTAAAATCATACTTCTGTAAGTGTCGAATAATGTTTATGATAAAAAATTTAAATATAAAAATAAACGCACAAAAGCATACAACTTGGGCAATTAAAAACAAGAAAATTGCTAAAATGATTTTATAAACAATTTGTTTTATTTTATTGACAAAACATATATATTCCAGGTAATGTAAGTAAAACAAAACTATAATCAAAATAAAAGCCTTGGCATCAGTGCTGACAAGATACATGCATCACTAAGGGTTAATTTGTTTGTTTATACTTTTTGACATTATAGTACCTTAAAAGAGAGCCGCACTGAGTTGTCAATCACACCTTGTTTAATACACCTTGATTACAGCCGATTTGTTGGTGGCATGAACGAGCGAATAAAAAAAGTATTTTTTTTTTTGCAGTGACAATGCAATGCAATGGATTTACCTTTTTTTGGTTTTAGTAAGAGGTCAGGAAAAAGTCCTTTTCTTCTAGGGTTCTTTGGTTTGTTCGTAATAAGTTTATGTACATAAATCCGCTATAAAAAAAATATAAAAAACAATAGCGAAATTGCTTTTATATAATTTAAATATTTTTTGTAGAATTAATTCAATTACTAGTGGTGTGTTCAGGAAAGGATGCATTTTAAATGAAGACCCCTACTAATAATTTTATTCCCATCTACCGTGAATGCTGGCATGAATAGCAGAAGAACAAGACCAAGGAGGACGTTTATCGTTACGGAGTGAAGTTTTGCAGGTAATTTATGATTGATTAAAAATAATAAAACGTAGATTTATCGCTATTGAAGTATTCCAAAAGTTCTGAAGAATGCGCTAAAAGTGCTTAACAATTCACAAAACGTTAAAATATTGCATCACGACAGCTGTTCTGTCGGGTTTTCGTGTTTAATGCCATCACTGCTGCACTCCACCACCCAACACGCTCGTCGCTCGACATTTTCATATTTTGGCATACTCATTGCTTATTCTGTCTGCTTTCCACTATTTGTTGCAGTTGCATTAAATAGCAAAACAGCCAGCATGTCCTTGACCCCGAAGAGTGTAGATTTCAATGAAATTTGGCCAAATCTGAGGAGCACCGCTGAGGCGGTCATAACCCTGGGCAATGTTAATCGCACAGATTGGAGTACCCGATTCAGGTGAGTATTTCTTATTCAACATGAATACATCCGCGAAGTGAATTTTTAACAATAAAAAATTTTTAATTTTTTCCTTCCAATATTTAGTGATGTCTACACGTTGTGTGTGGCGCATCCAGAGCCATTCGCTGATAAGCTGTATTACGAGACAAAACAGTTTTTGGAAAATCATGTGCAAAATATGTTGGCAACAAGAGTAGCACCTGGTTCGTGCAGTTCATCAAGTGAAAAAGATGGTGAACCTGATCTATTGCAACGTTATTATGATGCGTGGTCCGAATATAGTCAGGGTGTCAAGTACTTAGATAATTTGTATTCGTAAGTAGCATATTTCCACCACAATTACACAGAGTGATACTCACTTATTTTGTTTATTTCAGTTACCTAAACCAACAGCATATTAAGAAACAAAAAATCTCCGATGCTGAAGTGGTATATGGCAATTTGTCCACCGAAACGCTGGAACAAATGGAAATTGGCGAGCTGGGTCTCGACATTTGGCGCATTTATATGATAAAGTCACTCAGTGGCGAATTGGTCAAACATATTTTGGAAGGAATTAAGGCAGATCGTTGTGGCAGTCCAGAAATTAACACCACTCGAGTGAAGATAATTAACGGTGTAATCCACAGTTTTGTGCAAGTCCAGGACTATAAAAAGAATGGCTCACTTAAGTTGTATCAAGAACTCTTTGAAAGCCCACTACTTGTGGCTAGCGGAGAATATTATGATAGTGAGGCATCGAAGCTATTGCAGACGTGTACTGTGAGTCAGTATATGGAGGAGGTCATAAAGATATTATACGATGAAAGTAATCGTGCACAAAAGTTCCTGCACACCAGGTAAATATTTTTTTTAGATACATACTATCAAGTATCTATAATCATTTCGGACGAATCTTTTCTACAGCTCATTGTCCAAACTGCGTAAACAATGTGAGGATCGGTTTGTAAATCAGCGGCTTGATTTTCTATACTCCGAATGCAAAGATATGGTATCGCAAGAAAAACGCAAAGACTTGCGCAATATGTACATAATATTAAAACCGATACCGGATAATCTGAAAGGGCAGCTAATCCAAACATTCTTAGATCACATCAAAAACGAAGGACTGGAGACTATTTCAACACTGTCGGGCGAAAATATTCATATACAATTTGTGGAGAATATGCTAAAAGTACATCACAAGTATCAGGAGCTTATTGCCGATGTATTCGAGAACGATTCATTATTTCTAAGTGCTTTGGATAAGGCATGTGCGAGTGTCATCAATCGCCGCCCAAGCGACCGACAACCTTGCAGAAGTGCTGAGTATGTTGCGAAGTACTGTGATACGTTGCTGAAAAAATCCAAGACTACCGAGGCGGAAATCGACCAAAAACTCACCAACAACATAACTATTTTTAAGTACATCGAAGACAAAGATGTCTATCAAAAATTCTATAGTAGACTGTTGGCAAAAAGGTGAGTTAAAAAAAGGAGACAAATCGGAACCATAATGAGGTTTTCTTGTAAACAATTTAGACTAATTCACGAGCAATCTCAGAGCATGGATGCGGAGGAAGCAATGATCAATAGATTGAAGGTGAAATAGATAACTCAAATATGACTTAGTTACACATTTATTTAATTGAGACTATTTTTTTCATTTCCACAGCAAGCTTGTGGTTATGAATTTACAAATAAGCTACATCGTATGTTTACGGATATCTCGCTTTCGGTGGATTTGAATAATAAATTTAACAATCATTTGAAACAGGAAAACATTGATTTAGGTAAGTGCCGAATATTCACCTTTATTTTGGGTGTGCGTTCAACTAACTCGTTAAGACAAATATTACATTTTTAAACACTCCTTTTTTAATTTCGCCACAGGTATTAATTTATCCATCAAAGTGCTTCAAGCTGGCGCATGGCCATTGGGACCCACACAGGTTGTGATACCTTTTGCGGTGCCTCAGGAATTCGAAAAATCGATCAGAATGGTATGGCATATTAATTTATTATTATGCAATTTTATTACAAATTTGTAAATTACCCCTTTTATACAATTTATTTTACAGTTTGAAACATTCTATCACAAT